ATATTTTCTTTCTTTTTTTTTTTTTTATCCTCACCCGAGGACATTTTTCCATATTTTGTTCAGATAGAGTGGGAGGGAGAGAGAGAGAGAGAGAAACATCGATGTGAAAGGGACAGATCGAGTGGTTGCCACCCACACGACCCAACCAGGGCCAGGGACAAACTGCAGCCAAGCTATGTGCCCTTAGCGGGAACTGAACCCGGGTCTCTTCGGACTTCAGGCCGACGCTCTAACCACTGAGCCCAACCAGCCAGGGCAGCCTTCATATTTTCAAATGTCTCTGCATGTTCTTGATGCAATTGATTTCTAGGTTCATGCCATTGTAATCTGAGAAGATGCTTGATATAATTTCAATTTTCTTGAACTTGTAGAGACTTATTTTGTGCCCTAACATGTGGTCTATCTTTGAGAATATCCCATGTGCACTTGAGAAGAATATGAATTCTGCAGTTTTGGAATGTAATTCTCTGTAGATATCTATTAAATCCATTTGATCTAGAGCTTCAGTCTGTGTTTCTTTGTTAATTTTTTGTCTAGAAGATCAATCCAGTGATGTCAGTGGAGTGTTGAAGTCGCCTGCTATGATTGTATTGCTGTTGATGACTTCTTTGCAGTCCTCCAAAAGATTTTTAATATATGCTGGTGCTCCTATTTTGGGTGCATATATGTTTACCAAAGTTATATCTACTTGTTGAATAGACCCTTTCAATATTATGTAGTGGCCTTCTTTGTCTCTAGTTGTGGTCTTCATTTTGAATTCTACTTTATCAGATATGAGTATTGCTACCCCAGCTTTTTTATTTTTATTTTTTTCCGTTTGCTTGGAAAACTTTTTTCCATCCCTTCACTTTCAACCTGTGTGAATCTTCTGTTGTGAGGTGGCTCTCTTGTAAATAACATATATGTGAGTCATGTTTTCTTATTCAATCAGCTACTCTGTGTCTTTTTATCGGAGCATTCAAACCACATTTAAGTTGATAATTGATATGTACTTATTTGTTGCCATTTTTGTTTAGTGTGGTTCTCTTTTTCTTCCTATTTCTTCTACTACTTACAGCTATCCTTTTAGCATATCTTGCAGTGCTGATTTAGTGTTAATATATTCCCTTAGCTTTTTTTTTTTTTTTTTTCGTCTAGAAACTTCTTTATCTGACCTTCTATTTTGAATGATAGCCTTGCTGGGTAGAGTAGTCTTGGATTCAGATCCTTGTTTTTCATGATCTTGATTACTTCATGCCACTCCCTTCTGGCCTGTAGTGTTTCTGTTGAGAAGTCACCTGACAGCCTTACGGGGTTTTCTTTGTACATAACCTGTTGCTTATCTCTTGCTACCTTTAGGATTCTCTCTTTGTCTTTAATGTTTGGCATTTTAATTACTATTCTTCTTGGTGTGGGCCTGTTTGTGTTCTTCTTACTTGGGGCTCTCTGTGCTTCTTTAACTTGCATGCCCTCTTCCTTTACTATGTTAGGAAAGGTTTCTGTCACTATTTCTTCAAATATATTCTGTAAGCCTTGCCCATTTTCTTCCTCATTTGGAACTCCTTTGATGTGAATGTTATTACGTGTCCAGTTGTCTCACAGTTCTCTTAAGCTATTCTCCAGTTTTTTTAATTGTTTTTTTGTTTTGGTTTTCTGATTGGTTGATTTTCTCTACCCTGTCTTCTTATTCACTTATCCAGTCCTCAGCTTCCTCTACTCTGCTGGTTAGTCCTTCCAATGTGTTCTTAATATCTGCTATGTCATTCTTCATTTCCACTTGGTTGGTTTTCAATGTTTCTCTACCTTTACTCATGGTGCTTATGTCCTTACTCATGCTGTTGATCTTCCTCAAGATCATGGCTCTGAACTCTACCTCTACTAATTTCCTTAACTGCATTTCATTTATCTTCAATAGAGTTCTCTTTTTTTTTTTTTTCATTTGGGATTTGTTTCTTTGTTTCACCATTTTGGTTATCTCAGTAGGTTTTGGATTTCCCCAAAATTTCCCTGTGGATGTTGGCATCCTGCTGTTTGTGGGTCCCTCTACTGGATTTGGATGGGCCTGGGTTGGCCCTTGTTAAACACCACTGTCAAGTTTTACTTTCCCGGGTACATTTGCAAGCCCAGGAAAGGTTCAGTTATCCTCTAGCTTTCTCCTGGAGGCTAGTAGTCTCAGTTACTCAGTGCCTTGGAATGTGGCCCTAGTGTTCTGCCTAAGAGGATTTCCAGAGGGTGGTGTAGATGCTGGTTGTTAATGAGCCTCAATTTGCATTTCTTTTCCTCACCTGGGAAACGCTTAATCTCTGAGGGGTAGATGTGGGTTGCTGCTTTCCCCCAGTTCTGGGATGGAGCACACTGGCCACCGTCCTTTGTGGCCACAACTCAGCAAAATCTCTGAGTGTCTGGGGTGTCCCCACAGAGTCCCAGCCCAGTCTGCCCTCCCTCTGCTGTAGCCCCCAGGTGACTGTGGCTATTTTATTGGTCTGACCCGGCTCTCTGCGCTGTGGAGCGGGTTTGGTCTTTATTTCCCAAGGGCACTGCTCGCAGCTAAGACTGCTGCTATCCGTGGGCTCCCAGCCTGCCACCCTCTCACTCATCCCCAATTTCTCCCAGTGTCCCTGGTTATATGGTCCTGTCCTGCTGCTTTTCTGTTGCTTTTTTCTGAGGATTTGTCTTTATTTTAGTTATTATTCCCGTTTGGTCCTGGGAGATCATCTACGTAGCATCTATTCACTCCGCCTCCATTTTTCACATTCTCTAAGCCTATCTTGTGCACAGCTGGATCACACAGTCCCTTTGGAGACCCAGCTCTATGCCTATGTTATGGGATGCTGGGTCACACAGGCCTCTCTGGTGCTTCAGCACCCTGCAGGTCCCATGGGTAACTGGATCACACAGTTCCTGCTGGGTCACACAGGCCTCTCTGGTGCCCCCACACCCTGGAGGTCCCATAGGTGGACAGCTGGATTGTACCATACCATTCTCTCTAGGGCTCTGGCTTCCCACTGCTCTTGTGGGCTACTAAACTGCACAGGCCTCTGTGGAGCCCCAGGTCGTGCTGCTGTTTGCTGGGGAGTGCTGCTGCCCCATCCGGCTCAACTCCTGCTCAGTTTTGCTGTCCTTTTTGGGGATGGGTCTCAGCTGCTGGTCTGTGTTTCTGTTGCCTGGGGATGGATGTCTGCTCCCCAGCCTCTGTTGCTGGGGTTATATCTGGACTCTGACTGGGCTGCTACTATGGGGGATGTGCTGGGCTCCTGGCTGTCAGCAGCTACTGTGACTGGTACCTTGGCAGCTCCACTACTGTGCACTGGTCTGTGTTGACACAGAGTGTCCACTGGTCCGATGGTGCCAGGTGCACTGGAGGGCTCAGGTTGCTGGGCCCTAGCCGCTCCCACTGCCTCCTCCCAGGGAAGACTCAGGATCTTCCAAAATGGTGGGACCTCCTTGCGTGCAGGGAAAAGTGCCCTGAAGGGCCGCTTACCGCATTAGCCGGCTGCTCTGTCCACAGCACAGGAACCTTCTGCTCCGCGTCTCTGCACTGCTCGGGTTTGGTCGTCCACCTTCATGTCCACTCACACTCTCTCACACACTCACTCTCCCTCCGGTCTTGCCCGCTGCCATCTTCCTCCTTACCCCAGTTTTTTTTTTTTTTTTTTTTTTTTTGCAACTAGCTTTTGAAGACTCACATGATGCTCCATACATTAGGAAGTCTTTTCACTTAATCCATTTAGAGAATAAACTAATCTTGAGCCTGAGTGAGCTTCAAGAATTGTTTTGCTTCCTGATTTCTGGTTGTTCTTTAACTGGCCTGAGGCAGTTTTCTTCTTCACATTTATAGAACATGCCCACTACCTATAAAAGCTTCCTTATTCTCCTTTGAAGTGAAACTCCTGCCTCTAATTCGATCCCCAGTGTTCTGATCTCTATAACTTTAGTTTTATCATTTCCAGAATGTTATATAAATAAAATCTGGCATCTTTCACTGAACTTAATGCTTTTTAGATTTATTCATGTTTTTTTCATATACCAGTAATTGTCCCTCCCCCCCTTTTTTTTGGTGAATGGTATTTTTTTTTGGTGAATGGTGTATGGAAGTAAAATAATTTGTTTATCAGTTCACTAGTTGATGAGTGTGTGTGTTGTTTCCAGAGTTTATAATTAAGAATAAAATCACTATAAACTTTTGCATGTAAGTGTGTGCTTAATTTTATGAGAAACAGCCAAACTGTTTTCTAAAGTGGCTGTACCATTTTGTATTTTCATCAGCAAAGTATAAGCATTTTAATTGTTCTGCACCCTTGCCACTACTTGATATTGTCAGTCTTTTAGATTTTAGCCATTTTGTGGTGTATAGTAGTATATCATTATGACTTTAATTTAAATTTCCTTAGTGACTCAAAATACTACTGAGCCTCTTTTCATGTGCTTACTTGACATGTATATTTTCTTTGGTAAACTATGCATTCCAGTATTTTGCACTTTTTATTAATAGATTGTTTTCTTAATATTGAATTTTAAGACTTCTTTATACATTATGAATGAAATTCCTTTGTCAGATATAAGTTTTCCAAAAATTTCTCCCATTATGTGTCATGTCTGTTAATTTTCTTAGTGCATTTTTAAAGGCGGAAGTTTTAAGTTTTGATAAATTTCAAATTATCAATTTTTCTTTTGGATGATTTATACTTCTTTATTTATTTATTTTTGGTAGTCCTATATGCTAAATGTTTGCCTAACTTAAGATTGCGAAGACTTTTTCTTGTTTTATGTTACAGTTTTAGCTTATATTTTTGTGTCTAATAACATTTGTAGATAATTTTTGTATATAATGCAAGTAACTGTTTTATTGTTGTTGTTTTTATTGTTTGTGCATATGATGTCTAACTTTTCTACTACTTTTTGACTTTTGAAGGCTATTACTATTGTAAAGGTTTATATCCCCATATAAATTTCTTGGTCTCATCAGTGAAAATCAGTTGATAATGTATGTGTAGGTCTAATTCTGTTCTATTGATCTATAGGATTGTCCTTATGCCAGTACCTTACTGACTGATTACTGTACCTTTGTGGCAGAATTTTAAATCAGGTAGTGTAATTTCTCTAAATTACTTTTATTTTTAAAAATTGTTTATTCTGTCTTAGGCCCTTTGCATTTTCACATAAATTTTAGAGTCAGCTTATGAAGTTCTAAGCACTTCATGGAATTTTTCTCGGATTATGTTAATTTAAATTTCCTTAGTGACTCAAAATACTACTGAGCTTCTTTTCATGTGCTTATTTGACATGTATATTTTCTTTGGTGAACTATGCATTCCAATATTTTGCACTTTTTATTAATAGATTGTTTTCTTAATATTGAATTTTAAGACTTCTTTATACATTCTGAATAAAATTCCTCTATCAGATATAAGTATAGATCAATTTGGAGAGAAATGCCTTTTTAGTAACATTGAGTCTTTTGATCCATGTACACAGCTTATCTCTTCATTGACTTCAGCTTTCTTTAAGGTCTGTCTGTTAGCAATGTTATGTATTTTTAGTGTATAAATTTTTGCACATACTTGGTTAGATTTATTACTAAATATTTCGTATTTTTGAAGCTATTTGAAATGGATTAAATGATTTCAGTGTTCAGCTGATTATTGCTACTGTTTAGAAACACACATAATTTTTGTATATCGTCCTTTGTGTATTAGTTTTCTAGGGCTGCACAAACTGGGTGACTTAAAACAAGATAAATTTATTCTCTCATCTTTCTGAAGGCTCAAGTTCCCAAAGCAAAGTGCGCAGGACTGGTTCCTCGTCACTCAGAGGGAGAATGTGTCCGTACCTCTCTCCCAGTTCGTCCTGGTTGCCTGCGGTCCTTGGCATTCTTCGGCTCATCGCTGCATTATTCCAATTTCTGCTTATTTTGGCACACTGATAATTTCCTCTCTGTGAGTTTCTGCGTTCAAATATTCCCCTTCCTGTAAGGACACTGATCACTGGATTTAGGGCTCACCCTAATGTCAGGTGGCCTCATTTGAACTCGATTACATCTGCAAAGATCCTATTTCCAAATAAGATCACATTCACAGGTACAGAACATATATTTTTAGGAGACACAATCAAACCCATCACACTTTGTGTCCTACAATGTTGCTAAATTTACTTTTTAGTTCTATATATATATATATATATATATATATATATATATCCTAATATATATATATATATATGTAGATTATTTTTGTGTTTTCTGTATAGATGCTAAATCAGTTTACTTCTTTCTGAAAAACCCCAGAGCCATATCCAAACAAAATTCCTTTATATTTACCACTGCCTTCTTTCATTGCCATGGGATTAAAATTTTCCTCGCTTTAAATTGTTTCTGTTGGTTGTAATCTTCACTAACAACCCTTAAGTTGACTTTTTAAAGTTTTTTCAAAATTCTCTCCATGCAGGGTGTTATTCAAATCATCAATGCTTTTTCAGCTGTTTCGGGAAATAGGAAACGAGGGTGGGGTCAACGTGGCACTTGCCAGAGGTGCAAAATTAAGAAAGCAACCCAAATCTCAGTAATGAGAGAAATCCTATCTCGATGTAATATTTTAAAATAACACAAAATTGCCCTGGCCGGTTTGGCTCAGCGGTTAGAGCGTCAGCCTGCCCGGGTTCGGTTCCCGCTAAGGGCATGTACCTCGGTTGCAGTTTGTCCCCGGCCCTGGTCGGTTGTGCGCGTGGCAGCCACTCGATGTGTCCCTTTCACATCGATGTTTCCCTCTCTCTCTCTGTTCCTCTCTCTCCCTCCCGCTCTACCTGAACAAAAAATGGAAAAATGTCCTCGGGTGAGGATAAAAAAAAAATAAATAAAAAATAACACAAAATTAAACAATGAACAAAAGATCCAAATTTTAAATAAACACAGTTTAGTATCTTGCACTTGCATGACCCTGTCTTACTCGCCTCACCCTAATCCTGGTCCTGCCGTTTAGGTTACAGTAAACTGGTCTCCCCAAGGCAAATAATTATGGGTAGACCAATTATAGGTCCACCATGATTTCAGGGGCAAACTTTGCTAAACTTAATACATTGTTTTCTCCTTCTACTTCCCCCTGACTGAATCCTGTAGCTCAGTTGTTTCCTAGTCTTCTGTTCTTGAAGTAAATGATGCCTGTTGTGACAGGTCTCATGCATAAACCTGGTCTCAGGGCAAAGCCTCAAAAGCAGTCTCCCGGACACCTTGAGGTTCTTTGTCCAACTCACAAGCCGCTCCTTTGCCCATGTCTACGCTGCATGTGCCCTGTCACCATGGTGCCCTGGTGGACAGCTGATTCAGAGATCCTGCTGCATTTTCTTGCCTTCTAATTTGGAATCTAATTTTAAGAACAATGTAATAAATGCTGTGTGGAGCAAAAGGTCCCGCATGTCAAGTGTTGTGCACTCACATTCTGGCACGTGGCCTGCAAAGCAGAGAAATTTGGTTAGCAAAGAAAGAAGTTTGAAGCAGACAGGCAGAGAATAGAAAGATAGGGACATGGAGTCCAGCCTGGAACCTGACTGGTTCCCAGTTCATACTTCCAATCCCATCCTAAGACCCAGCTCTATCCTATTTCTTTCTTTTTTTAATTCTATAATACCCCATTATTCATTTAACAAACACTGTTGACCCTACTTTTTTCTTAAGGTACCTTCAATTTCTTTCCATTAGTTGCAACTGAAGAACCTTGGCAAATATGTTTTCTCTAGTTTCCCAAACTGGATGCTTTATCCCCATGATACACACTAAGGAAACGTCCCCAAACTCCTCTTTCCAACTCTGTGTCTGGTTAATGAGACCCTCTGCTCCAGTGAAGGCTCCTTGCTCCCTGTCTTCTTACATGCTTTCTTGATGACCCTCCCACCCACTGGCATTTCATTGTTCCCAAGTTTACTCTTTTTGTTCTGTTTCTTCTCAGCATACTTTGGGTCTATCACACTGTTAGCATTTAAGTAGCTATACTGCATAACGTACAGAAGTTGAATTTCTTCTAATATTTTCCACCCTTTGATTATGCAAGGCCCAGTTTACGCATTTCCAATATGAACCCGTCTCATCAATTTCTTTGCATCTCCTCCAGAAAGAATGTAGGTGGCTCTTGGTATATGACTCTATTATAGTATTCCTCTGTTGTAGCTCTTCAAGGAAAGGGCTCATGCCTTATGCATTTGCACTGAGTACTTTGTAATTAACACACAGTAAGTCATCAGTAAGTGCTTGTTGAATGAATGACTGACAGAATGAAAGGGTGTCTATTTGCTACATATGAAGTTAGAAAACATGACTGATGGTGACAAATATTCCGTAAACATCATGTTCATCAGGGCTCTGTTTAAGCCCCTTTCTCTTCCCACTTTACCCTGTTGCTTTGAATGATCTCAGTTACCTCCAGGTCTTTAGTTACCATCTGCCATGTTAGGCCCTCCCAAGTGTGTAGTTTTAGTCCAGATATGTCTCCTTAGAGCAAAACCCACAGTTTCAACTACTTACTGGGCTTTTCTGGTGGGGGTGTTCCTGCAGGCACTTCAGACTCAGTTTAGAGTGTGAAATCTGTCTTCACTGACTTCTTCCCCAAGTCCATTCCAACCTCCTTTTCCTGCTGCTCCTCAGCTGATGTTTCCTAAACAGTGAATGGCAGCACTATCAGGTCAATCAAGCAAACCTGATGTACCCCCAATACACTGCACAGTGCCTGTCACCTAGGAGGCACTCAGTTAATATTTGTTTAATAAACAAATGACTGTTACTTAAGATTGGCAAATGAATTGAAAACTATCAATTTGACTGTTAGAAATGGTTTTAGACTCAACAGTAAAATGCTAGAATGAGAGGAGGCTCTGGGACTTTCTCATCTTTCATGTTCGGTGCCTTTGAGCAAATGTCTGAAACATCTTTATCTAGGCCTGCGGGACTTTGTAGTGATGCCCTCTCGTGGACAATCTCTATGTTAAGTTTTCTGCCTTTCAGAGATTGGAGATGCTTTGAGTGATAGTATGTTGGGAATGAGACTCACGACTTATTTTTTCACTCTTGCTTCTCAGGCTAATGTTAGAGGCACAGGCTTTGGGAGTCAGACTGACATGAGCTTGAACTCTGACCCCTTCATTTCCCAGCTTCGTGTCTTTGGACAAGTTACTTAAGTTCTTTAAGTTTTAGTTTCTTCATCTATAAAAGGAGACAGTATTAAGCATAGCATAGGGTTATTTGAAAGTTGTGTATAGTAAGCTTTTCATGGTCTCTGAAACATGAACATCTCGATGAATGTGAATTTGCCTTCTTTTGTTTGATGAGTGGTGTTCTCTAAGATACTTAGTTTGGTTGAGTGTCAATTTCCACAGGGTTGTTGTGTGGAATAAATTAGTTATATTCCCATGAAGTACATGGTTATTTAAGAAATATTAGATTTGTTCTCTTTGTTCTTCCCAGTAAGGCACTGGGAAATGCCTGAGTGTATTTTGAGTTGGTTAGAACTTCTGGTCAACCTGAAGGCTCTTGTTAAACTATGGGACGACAAAGATCTGAACATGGAGGAATATCATTGCTTTGCTCATTTGCATGATTCATTGCTGCTCAACAGCAAGGTTATTAGAAGAAACTTGCTGTTCTACTTTATGTCACATACACATGCCCTAGACTCTGCTCTCAGATTGGCCTTGGAGTGTCTTTGATCCTGGTGCATTTAACCATCTGCAATGACTAAGCCCTGGGACCTCTCACTGATTACTTGTGAGTGTCCACATTTTCTTTTTGTTTTGTTTTGTTTTAAATCCTCACCAGAGGATGTTTATTGGCTTTTAGACAGAGGAAGGGGTGGGGAGAGAGAGAGAGGAACATTGATGTGAGAGTGAAATATCGATCAGTTGCCTCCCACACATGCCTGGCCAGGGACTGAACCTACAGCCTAGGTATGTGCCCTGACCAGAAATCAAATCCACAACCTTTTGGCATATGGGATGATGGCCAAGTGAGCCACCCGCCAGAGCATGGGTGGCTACATTCTCTGATTGGTATGAACATCAGCTAATCCTTACCCACCTCTATAAAGCAGTAACTGATTTTGACTAAATTAAGATATCTTTCCCAACCATATAAAGACCATTATTCCTTCCTCCTTCTATTCTTCATTCTTCAGCCCAGTTGTCATCCATTCTCTTCAAATGACAAGAAAATTGAGATTCTGAAAGTAACAACTACAACAAAAGTACCAACAGTAACAAACACCACTTGTATTTATTTTAAAACATGAAACTGTAGTGATGAGGAAACTAATATGACTTCAGGGAATATGTTTTTATGATGTTGTGAGTTGAGGATGGGCATATGGAGGCAGATGTTTCTAGAAGGTTCATCACACTGAGGTGAAAACCATTACAAAGAGCTCGTTGTCAGGATGGGTCAATAAATTGGTGATTCACCAAATCTCTGTCTTCACTCTGGCAGACTTCCTCACTTACCAGTTTATTCACCTCGTTGCCTTTAATTCAAATGCCTCCTCATTTAAATTTCTGTGGGTGTGTCAGGAATGGAAGATGCTAGAGAGGGACTGACTAGTAAAAATGGAGGCAGAGCAGAGGTCATGGGGGATGGAGTGGGGACAGGAATTTCCATACAAGAGACTTTGCAAATCTGAGAGTAAATAACTGATCGCCCAAACCTCCTACTCCCTTGATGGATTGGCATTGGCATTAATGTTATTGCAAAAATAAGTAGATAATAAAATAAAATAAAAAAATAAATCCTTGTTTCTTAGAAAAAATTAGTGTGGCAAATATTGGACATTCCTTCCAACAGTGGGAAGAAAAAAATACACTTGGCAAGAATCAGAGACAAAAACTGTCTTTGTTGAAATGGCATTGAATTAAAAACTCAAAGGAGACAGTGGCATCTTCTTTAGTACAGAGATTAAAAAACAGCAACAATAATAAAACAGCTTTTCCATCCAGCAACTACGGTGCCAACCCTCCTCCCCTGGACTTGACTGGCAGCAAAAACCCCCACCCATCAGCCTCATACTATTATCAGAGGGGAGAGGATGTGCTTAAGTAAGAAATCAGACCTCGCCCTGCTGCTGTGGCTCAGTGGATGGAGCACCGTCCCATGGACTCCCAGTCAGGGCA